GAGACTCATCTTATCTCTTGGAAGAGCAAAAAGAAGGTAGTTGTCTCCCACTCGGCAGTAGAGGCAGAGTATCGGGCACTGGCACTTGGCACGTGTGAGATTATTTGGCTATGATCGATTCTTGGCGAGTTGAGTTTTTCAGTTACCTCTCCTTCCACATTATATTGTGATAATCGATCTGCTATTCAGCTTGCTTCTGACTCTGTACTACATGAAAGAACGAAGCATATAGAGATTGATGTTCACTTTCTTCGAAAAAAGGTTAGCAGTGGTATTGTCACTCCATCGTTTGTGGGGACCAGTGATCAGGTTGCAGATGTTTTTACCAAACCTGTCACTCTGTCTATTCTTCGAGACTCCGTTGTCAAGCTTGACTTAGTTGACATTTTTGCGCCTAGCTTGAGGGGGAGTGTTGGAAATATAGCTGCAGCCTAGTTTATTAGAGTTTTATTAAGTTTTCCTTTTTTACCTTTTTGTCCTTATGGTAACTCTCATTGACTATATATACGGGGGCTCTACACTTAGTTTGTATCCCTTTTTTCATTCACGTTGTATTTCAAGTACACCAAAAACATGGTTTTCAGAATTCAAGCAGAAACACAACAATATAAAAAGAAAAACACTAAAAATGCATGTATAGGTACAAATTTCGATAAGAAGGGTTGTCTAGGTAGCACAAAAACATGTCCAAGTGCCAAGAATTAATTGTCATAAAATCATTATAGTGCATGTACACTGCATACCAACCATGTGCTATATCAGAAGAAAAGGAAGAAGAAGGTGGGAGGGCAGTAGCACAATTGCTCACTATCCTCAAAATCAAAATGCAACAGAAATGGGAGTACGACCACAAAAAAATTCCAAAAAACCCTTTAGTACAAACCTTAAAAGGTGAGCAATAATTACACTTAAGCACATATTTTCTGCATAAAATAGATATAAAGGTTGTTGCCAGAGCAACATCAATTGGTTTCATGACCAGATCATAGTGGAGGTCACCACAGCAGAATTGTTATTTATCTACCTTCTAACAAAGTTTCAATTTTTTGCCAAAGACTCAAATTTGTATACTGAAGATAGATAATAATATTGATAGTTTTCATTGGCATTCAATGGAAAGCAAGAATTGTCCAAATAGAAATTTCTATTCGCACCTGATGTAAGTTTGTCCACAGTATCACTGAGTGCAATTTTCTGATTTTTTTCAGCCACTACACCAACAATAATAATAACATAACAAAATATGTCAGGTTTTATAAATCAATCGCTATCTCAATGAATGAACAAAAAATTAGAAATATTTGTTAAATACACATTCATTTTGTAGTAAAATTGCAAAAAACACACAAATATTGACATGTTAAACCTCATTTGGCTAAGAGGCTTTGTGTGTGCAGTAGGTGTGGGTGTGATTTGCTTGTCCTCGTCTCTTAAGCATTTCAACAAACACGTCATGGGCACTGTGTTATTTTGTGTTGTGGTGATGTTTTCTTTAAAGCATGGAAGCATTATATTTGCTATCTTTCTTGATACACAGATCTCAAAAATGGGTTCTTGAGTTACTACAAGTAGAAGAAGGGGGTTGCTGGGGGCTAGGGGTGATAGAGAAAAAGAGCAGCGGAGAGAGAGTCAGCAACAGTTTGTGTGTGCGAGTGTTTTTATGTGTGTTTTATGCGTAGAGAGAGAGAGAAAGAAGAGGCGTGACAGATAGCGGAGACTGAGGGAAAGAGAGACAGACATCGCATGAATGTGAGAGAGAGGGACATAAGCAACAAGAGTCTAGAGTTGTATATGAGAAGAAAAATTTACTCAAATTTTTGAACTGGTAAAAATAAATTCAAACGTCAATTAGGATTACATAATCAAAATTTAAAAAGAAAATGTTATTAGGCAAGAAAAAAAATTCAGTATTCATTGTAAACCATTAGATCAAATTTTTTGAGATAAATTGAACCGTCTTTTATGTTGAGATTATATTGTCTGTTAGATGTGTTTATGTTTTGTCTCAAAACGGTCTGGACTACTCTTTGTCTTTTTGATTCAAACTTCGTTCTACTTTATTATATATATATATATATATATATATATACATATTTTTATATATATTTATATATACACGTTTTTATATATACATAAATACATACATATATATATATATTTATATATACACGTTACACTGTTATTGTTATACTCTTACATTATTCGGATATTAAATTAATTTAAAAATAAAACTATTTCCAAAACGCTTGAATCAAGGTGCATTAAATATAATTTGAAAATAAAATCACTTTTCAAAAAAAAATTACCCATTAATCAAGGTTCATTAAAGATAATTTAAAATTTAAATAAGATATTTAACAACAAATATATATATATACTTATTTACACACACATACACACAAATATATATACTTATTTACGCGCACACACACAGATATATATATACGCATGAATCAAAGGTGCATTAAATACGTATTTATATGTATTAACAAACACACATGAATCAAGGTACATTAAAGATAAGAGATTTTGAATTAAATGATCCTAAAATGAGTATTTATGTCTTTTTAACTCACATTTTGTTCTATATATTTTTTGTCAAATAAGTCTAATTAGGTGTACCGACTTCCAAAGAACCCATTTTTAATACTTTGGTTGGGCCTGGGCAAAAAAATTCTAACCCGAATTGAATTTGGGCAAGCCTCAGGTTGGGGTCTCGGGCTGTAGGGTTCAACCCGAATATACATAAATATATTTAACTAGAGTTAGTATTTATTTTCACTTTTTAGAGTTAAAATTTTTGCTTCACTTCAAGTCTTCATCACTATATCTCCATCACTCTCAAATCCTTCTCTTATTTGTCACTCGTCTGAGTCGTCTCAGACTCTCAGTTTTCCTCTCTCACTCGTTATTCCTTCTTTTCTCACTCCCTCTCTCTTTATTTGCGTTTCGCCCTTCATCTCAGATCACTTGAAAAAATCAAATTTACACTTAAAAAAAATAAATCTACACTTCAAAAAATTAACCCAAATTAAGTAACTCAAATCAACTCGATTTTTAATCCGAAATCAGCTCGAATTGAATAACCCGAATTCAACTCGAGTTCGCCTGAATTAAACTCGGGCATCTGGTAAGATTAGAGTAAGAATTGAAGATATATATTTAGGGTTGGCCTCTCAACCCACCCAAATTGCACCCCTAACTGTAAAGGAACCTCCATCACGGAAAAAAAAATTTATATATATTCTGATGAATAGTATTAGTAAAATCTCAGTGGTCCACTATGATTTTTTATATGTTAATAGTGCCCTCTTTAGTTTTATTCTTAAAGGTCAGGATTGGCTCTTGTTTGCCCCATACAATTCTCCAGGTATCATTGTATTATTAGGAAAAACACGTAATGAGACTCTCGTCTCCGTAGAATCTATGGAGGATAGATGTATATAATTTTACCAAGTTTACAAGGAAACAGTTTGCGCCATCCATTGTACCCCCACCACTATCTCATTTGCTGCAATGACCAATTGAACCAGCTATCACCAAAACATGCCGCTGCATCACACCACCACCTCTGGTGGCACCTGAGCAAGCACCCCACTTCAAGAATACCATGAGTACCTTAAGATCTCACCACCCTCGTATCCACTCCCATTATCGCCACCACAATTCTACAAATTTGATAGCTCTCACTTAAAGGTATGGTCAATTTCACTCTTCTTCGGAGTTTGAAAGTCAAAGAGTCTCATGCACTTGCTTATGGAACTCTTTCTAACTTCATTGTTGTAAATTGTGAGTTTTTGTTTCTTATGTTAACTTTTGAGGTCCTTTTTTGATCAAGGTTGGATTTTGTTGGCTTTTAGAATGCATAGAATGACTCAAAAATAGAGTGAATACAAGTAATTAACCACCCAAAACTAGACATTCTGCTAAATTCTCACGTTTAAACATGACTTTGTCTCTCTATAGTATTGTATCATGCCTCGTTTCTTTTTGAATAATTCAGCATGCAAATTTTATTTACATTTATACCGAAAGATTCGATTAATCTTAGAACTATGTTTGGATTGAGATGACTTTGTATAGGCAATTATTTAAGGGAAGGCAACGAGTGTTTTCTTTGTACAAAGAATATTCATTGTATCAATGTATCATTGTATCCTCCTCTTTCGTTTCATGAATATGTCAAGAGCTGGCTAACACACAAAATGACAATTGATAATAGAAAACTGCATTTCCTTCAGATACTAATTTTTTATATAAATGAGAGCTCCAATCCAAGGTAACGGTTCATATGAGTTAAGGACTAGGGCAGTTAAGGTCTTGTTCAAGTTGAATTTAATTCGAGTCTGGTGCATTTTTCTTCAAGAACTTTCATCACCGAACCCAACCTATGTCCCTTGTTAGAACACAAGTCTTAAGTGGTAGTCGGACACTCAGGGGATCACGGCTCGACCAGCCTGAGCACTGCATATCACGAGCGGGCTGTTATGTGGCTGACAGAAGGGGGGAGGATTAGAGCAGAATGATTTTGATGGCATGTTTTGAGTTCATTTGAGCCTATAGATAGAGGACAAGTGATAGTGAATCACCTATTACACATTCAAATTGAAGCCACTTAAGTCCGGATAGTGTCATACCTACCAAATCAACCCAACAAAGCTTATTTACCGTCAAGAAATTTTTTTTTAAAAAAAGTATAGTATCAGTTTGAGAATTAAATATGTCTTCGGGGACATTTTTCCTCAGATAAAGGCTCCACAACACGTGCAATTATAACATTATCTTTGGATATAATCAACCGTGCCAGAACAGTAACTTAGATTACAGCTAGTAATTGTTCTCCTAATTGAGATGTATGAATGAAAAAACAGTAAGTCAATTTTGTCAGGTTTCATATATTTTTAAAAAACATTGCATCTTTCCAAGCATGTTCCTGGTCAGGCCAGCTAGCCCTCCTCGTGCTTGTCAAAGACTAACCAGTTCTAAGATTATATAAGTGGGAGGCCTCATTCTTGAATAAAAGGAGAGAGAACTTAGAAGACTTTGGAGAGATAATCTTCCCAGTTCTTCAACATCATTGAAAATTTCACCTTCTTCCTTTCCTTTCCTTCCGTATATATTGTATAATTCTGATATAATCAATTACCAGACGTTTATTAGTGGTTGGTCGGGCCCTTTTCATCATCAAGGATTTTATATATACTTCTTGAGCCAGTTGGTTTTTGTAAGTCGCAGTCAGATATTTATCGAGTTTTTGGGAGTGAGAGATTTGCGTAAGTAAAAATGCAAAGCCGGGAAAATGACGACAACCACCACCACAATCACCGCCACCATCACTCCGACACGGAGATCAATGACAGCACATCATACAGCGGTCCATTAAGTGGACCGTTGAACAAGAGAGGAGGTCGAAAGAGTGCAAGATTCAACCTGCCCGACTCCACCACGGCCAATATCGGCGGTGGTGGAGGTAGTAGTGGTGGGAGTAGTAGTGGGAGTGTCAAGTTCAACGATGATACCTACGTCGAGATCACCCTCGATATTCGTGACGACTCGGTGGCGGTTCACAGCGTCAAAACTGCCGGTGGAGCTGACGTAGAAGATCCCGAGCTGACATTGCTGGCAAAAGGTTTGGAAAAAAGATCTTCTTTTGGTTCATCTGTGGTACGGACTGCTTCGTCTAAGATTAGACAAGTGTCCCAAGAGCTTAAACGATTGGCTTCATCCTCGAAAAGATCAACTCCGGTGAGATTTGATAGGACTAAATCAGCAGCAGCTCATGCTCTCAAGGGACTCAAGTTCATCAGCAAGACCGACGGTGGTGCCGGGTGGGCCGCCGTGGAGAAGCGGTTCGATGATCTCACCGCCACCACCAATGGCTTGCTTCCTCGTTCACTCTTTTGTGAATGCATAGGTAACCCAATTACTCAAAAAGTCCCAACCACCAAGAACTAATATGATTTTTATCTTCAACTTTAACGATTCACATAAGCGTGTTTAATTATCAAGTATTTTTGTGTTTGGCAAATGGCAGGGATGAACAAGGAGTCAAAAGAGTTCGCCGGAGAGCTATTTGATGCACTTGGACGGAGACGGAATATTACAGGTGATTCGATAAACAAGGTTCAGCTAAGGGAGTTTTGGGACCAAATCTCCGATCAGAGTTTCGATTCTCGGCTTCAAACGTTCTTCGACATGTAAGAACAAAAAAGTTTTGGAATTCTTAATGAAAAACAGTTTTCTGAATCTTCATGATGTTTATGAGATGCAAATGGGTGAATCAAATTGCAGGGTGGATAAAGACGCAGATGGAAGAATCACAGAAGAAGAAGTCCGAGAGGTATGGGAATATTAAATTGTCTGATAAAAAACCACGATCTTAAAGTTTAACGGTGGGGTGATGGCCATTAGGTCAATCGCTAAACTTTGATTTACATTGTACCAAGGCCAGCCCTCTATTGTTTGTTAATGTTTGGGTAACTGTAAATTTTGCAGATTATTAGCCTAAGTGCTTCTGCGAACAAGTTGACGACTATTCAAAAACAAGCCGACGAATATGCAGCACTGATCATGGAGGAGTTAGACCCCGACCATCTAGGATATATCATGGTAATCAAATGGCATCACCTTACACCAATCCCCAAAACCCACACATTCACCAATATTAAAATTTCGTTTTAACATTTATGTTTACATGAAAATTAAAACGAGTCAATGATTTGAATATTAAAATTCTTATATTTTGAGATATTTCGGTATATTTCAACATATTCAAATTATTGTTTTGAAAACAAATTTTCAAATTTCTTCTCCACATCTAGTTTGATTCCAAAATGTTTTCGCCATATTTCTTAAACGTTTGGGTTTTCTACTTGACTAAAATGGAACTTTGATCCTTTCACATGACTGGGAGCTTGCCTTATGTACTCTTTTTATTGATGACCATGACGTGGAACAGATTGAAAATCTGGAGATGCTATTATTGCAAGCACCAAACCATTCAGTAAGAGGAGAAAGCAAGAACTTAAGCCAAATGCTGAGCCAGAAGCTTAAGACCACAATAGACCATAACCCAATCCGGAGGGGTTATCAAGATTGCAAGTATTTCATACAGGATAATTGGCAAAGGGTGTGGGTGATGGCACTCTGGATAGGGGTCATGGTCGGACTATTTGCTTACAAGTATGTTCAGTACAAAAATAGAGCTGCGTATGATGTAATGGGTGCTTGTGTTTGCCTGGCCAAGGGCGCGGCGGAGACGCTGAAGTTGAACATGGCATTGATTTTACTTCCGGTGTGCCGGAACACCATCACTTGGCTGAGGAACAAGACTAAGTTGGGTGTTGCTGTTCCTTTTGATGACAACCTCAATTTCCACAAAGTAAGTCTTGGCTTCTAATTTTTTTTTTTTCTTTTTGGGTAAAATGTAAATTGCACCGAATCTCTAATTTTATATCGTACTTCTATTAAAGACAAGATATTTTTAATGAAATAATATATCAAAATAGGATTATACCCTTACTAGCAAAACACATGATTTTCACGGAAATAAAGTTGTTTACGTAAGATCTTTTTGTGCACTAATTCACCTTATTTTAACTCTTTATCTCTATTATATATCTTTTATTCTCTGTCGAATGACAACCAATCACTTTTTCTCTTCCTTTTTTATGCATATAGTACTACTTTCTAAACTTGGATAAGTTTTTTTAAACAGAAAACCAATATTTAAAATTTAAGAAAATGAAGTGTATTATTGTGTTTGCATTATTTTTCGAGTAATATTACACTGATTAAATTTTGTGATTAAATTAAAAATTTAAATGATATGACAGTTGACTTAAGTTTATTTATTTTGTGTCATATTATTTAGGCCCCAATAAAAACTTTAAATATTATATTGTCATGTCATTTGTGCTCTTAATTTAATTCTAAAATTTGATAACCGTTACATTATTGTTATTTTCCACTCAATGATTGACTCCATTAGTTCTTCCATCGTAATCCAAAATTATTGTTATTTTCCACTCAATGATTGACTCCATTAGTTCTTCCATCGTAATCCAAAATTATTGTTATTTTCCACTCAAAACCATTGGAAAATGTGTAGGATTTACAATATAAGTAGGTAAAGACTCGCTAGTTCAAACCACAAATAGGTAAAAATATACATATAACTTTTAAACAAGGAAACCATTTCAACCACACTCACTTTAGACTCAAGGTTGCGACGGCTCTTTTGATACGTGGAATCATTCCAAAATCACATGCATGGGTTAAGGAAATTGAAATCATGACGTGTAAATTTACATATTATTCTTTATTTGATCATTAAACAAACTTGTGCAGGTTATTAGCGTTTATACCATGTTTAGATTAGTAAAATTTTCAACTAGTGTACTAAATAATGGATTTTTTTTCTTTCTTTTCTGTTCTAGGTAATTGCAGTGGCAATTTCAATTGGGGTTGGGATACATGCAATTTCCCACTTAACATGTGATTTTCCCAGGCTTATGAATGCAAGCCCTGAAAAGTATGCTCCCATGGAGAAATATTTTGGGAAACAGGCCACAAGCTACTGGCACTTTGTGAAGGGAGTGGAAGGGGTGACTGGGGTCATAATGGTGGTGTTAATGGCCGTAGCTTTCACCCTAGCAACGCCGTGGTTGCGGCGGAGCAAAGCCAACATACCCAAACCTCTTAAGAAGCTCACCGGATTCAATGCCTTCTGGTATTCCCACCACTTGTTCATCATTGTCTACACCCTTCTCATCGTTCATGGTATCAAGCTTTATTTGACCCATGAATGGTACAAGAAAACGGTAACTACCTCGTCCCTAGAAAACTTTTCAAATTATGAGTACATATCGAAATTTACTCTAAATCAATTCCAAATCCAAATAATTGATATATTTGACCAATTATTTGAATTAGAATCTATTTTTGGCATAGTTCACAAATTTAGAATTAGATATGTCAATATCTGACTTAGTCGTAATCTAGATTGAATTATGTGTTATTTATGAATGGTCACACCAACCTTTGGTTCTGGCAGACGTGGATGTACTTGGCAGTTCCCATCACACTTTACGGCGGCGAAAGATTGATCAGAGCATTCAGGTCTAGCATCAAGCCTGTTAAGATACTAAAGGTAAATTCGTGTTTTTTCGGTTGTAAAATTTAACGTTTAAGGAGTGTGTTAATTGAATAATCTAATTTTCCGCAACTTGTCATTTTTGAAGGTGGCTGTTTATCCTGGAAATGTGCTGGCACTTCACATGTCAAAGCCTCAGGGCTTCAGATACAAGAGTGGGCAATATATGTTTGTCAACTGTGCTGCTGTTTCACCTTTCGAATGGTAGGTGACAAGCACCCTTGTTTGTACTTTTAAAATTGTTTCCTAGTCACATTCTTAACACCATCCGACCACATTCGTTGATCTAATCCGATGTTATCATCATTTGAAATTGAACCTTATCTAATGATAACATATTATTCTTACAACATAACGGGTCAAACTGTTCGTATTCCCTTTTTCTGTGACAAATAACGGTAAAAGAGGGGAATTCGAACTTATGTTGAATATCCATTCTCTTTGTCAACTGCAACAGCCTAACTATTTTTGTGTAATTGTCATTGGAGTTGAAATGTTGCAGTTGAAAAGTGGGTGCGTGCGAGCTGTATTTTCGTAATATAAAATGCATCTTTTTTTTATTTCTATAATTTTCATCTTTTTGATCATGTTGCTAAACTATGGTGGTTTTACAAATCAACAGGCACCCATTTTCCATTACTTCTGCCCCTGGAGATGATTATCTGAGTGTTCATATTCGAACTCTGGGCGATTGGACACGACAACTCAGAACTGTTTTCTCAGAGGTGTGTCTCTTTATTTCTCTACCAATGGTACAATTAGTCACACTAATTGTCAGATTTACTTAATACAACAACGGTTTCAAGTAAAATCATGTTATTTTTGTGTTAAGTTGAGTCCAAGAAAAGGTCAACAGTAGAGAAAATTTTGAAAGCGTATACACAAATTCAATAAATCAGACCTAGAACAATGATAAATACTCATTTGTTCAAATGATACATCAACAGTTTGCATCTGAAGATTAATTTTTATTCTCTTCCCGATCTCGTAATAAATGAAAATTTTACATAGTGGGTAAGATAATATTTGTTATTCAATATTTGAAACATATCAACAAACTTAGATAATTGAAGGAATCTTCNAAATGAAAATTTTACATAGTGGGTAAGATAATATTTGTTATTCAATATTTGAAACATATCAACAAACTTAGATAATTGAAGGAATCTTCACTCAAAACGCCTAGGAACCTGACAAAGTATGCAACCAGGACTCCCTTGTCATTATATGTAGATCTTTTAAGCATATGTACGTGAGAATAATGCCAATGTTAGCAATTAGGGTGTGTTTGGCATTAGTTGTAACTAACATTTGCTGAATGATACCTGGTCTTTGTTAGGTATGCCAACCACCACCTAATGGAAAAAGTGGACTCCTCAGGGCCGACTGCTTGCAAGAAGAGAACAACCCAAAGTAAGTCGCTTCCTTCAATTAATGAGTTACGTTGCGTTTCAAATATGCTAAAATTATGACTCTGATATAAATTTTTTGGGATCAGTACCTTAGAAATGACAGGATTAGTACCCACATAGATGTAAAGTAATTTGTTTGAGTTTTAATTTAACCCGACTCAACTTAAACTATCCCCTTAAAATTTTGGGTTTCTCGTTATTCGATCAATCAATCAAATTTGATGTAAGCGGTTAGATTAATGGTAACCGTCCTCACTATTGGACCTTAAGATTCCGGATTTAAACCACGTCATCTCCCTCCTCTATAATAGTATCTGATCCCAAAATGTTCACCATCTTTGCAACAGGACCACCACCACAATCTCATTGAAAACTCATCATTAAGTGCCAAATTTCATCTAAGATAACCACTTTCCGAGTGCTTTGTTTGACGAATATATTCAAACCTTTAAACAGAAACAAACACTCTGCAACCGTAAACAATGTGTACTAGTCGACAAATCTCACATGGCGTGATGTGTTCGCATTATTGATAGGGACATTTAACAAACATGTGGCGTACCATCTCTAGGCTAGGGCTAGGTATGGATGGACCGTAGATCAAGGTGAAAATCTGTGAAACCGAGTTTGTTGAGGAATTTTAAAAGATTAATGTCAATGCTATTGAATAGCAACTCAGATAGTTTAAAAGTAAGACTTAAAGAGGTTTAGAAGTATGGAATCAATACAAATTTTTTAAGATGGACCCTAACATATCAAAATGATTTATAACTTGATTTGTTTGATTTATAATTTGACTTGATTTGATCATAACTTTCCGTATTATATGATGAATTATACCTACTTTTGGAAACCCGTAGCATAAAATTACATGATTTTGTCTTTTTTTCTTTTTTGTTGTTTGAAATTTTTGGCAATAAGTGTCTAGTGGAAATGCTAACAATCATGATGAACAGTTTTCCAAGGGTGTTGATCGATGGTCCATATGGAGCACCAGCACAAGACTACAAGAAATATGAAGTAGTCTTATTGGTGGGGTTAGGAATTGGGGCAACACCCATGATCAGCATTGTCAAGGACATAGTGAACAACATGAAGGCCATGGATGAAGAAGATAATGCTTTAGAAAGCGGAAATGGAACACCTATTGCTGGTAGTCCATTACCAACCTCTACCAGTCCGATAACCTCGAAGCGAAAATCCGGGGCGAGTATTGGCAGTAACTTCAAAACAAGGAGAGCATACTTTTACTGGGTCACAAGGGAGCAAGGGTCATTTGACTGGTTTAAGGGAGTGATGAATGAGGTTGCTGAAATGGATCACAAGGGAGTAATAGAGATGCACAATTATTGCACTAGCGTTTATGAGGAGGGTGATGCCCGTTCTGCCCTTATTACTATGCTTCAGGTTCTGAACCATGCCAAGAATGGTGTCGACATTGTGTCTGGGACTCGGGTTAAGTCTCACTTCGCCAAGCCTAACTGGCGCAATGTCTACAAGCGTATTGCCCTCAATCACACAGATTCCAGAGTTGGTAAGCCTTGCTAATCCCTATTATTATAAAATATGCCACTAAATTAAGTTTAAATAATATTATTGTTCGTACACAATTTACCTACCCTAGTGGACGCATGGGCGGCTTTGAAGAGATGCCACTAACTTCAGTCTAGAAGATTTATAGTGGAAAAAACGTGGCAGTTTCCAAAAGCCGCCACCCATGTAGAAACACCCAATAGGTCTTTCACCGTCCTAGAAAAATTTATGGTTTTCAACTTTCTTTATCCGTCTTGTAGCGTAACTGGCTAATTATTAGAATGATATCTTAAGAAAAATGTTCAAAACTCAGCGGTATTGAAAAAACATGACCATCCAAGTGGCTTAGAATGTTTTTGTCTCTTTCTATCAGTGTCCTAAAAAGAGATGGAAGTTACATGTGTAATAGTAGTATTGCTTCTGTTGATGAGCATAGGGATAATAAAATCTATATCAGATGTAAATTACATACCAGTTACATTTTTTTAATCTTATTAGAGTGTCTTTTTCACATTTTGCAGGGGTGTTTTATTGTGGGGCTCCAGCACTAACAAAGGACCTAAGACAGCTAGCTTTGGATTTCTCTCACAAGACCTCCACCAAATTTGATTTTCACAAGGAAAATTTTTGACCAAAAAGGATGAGAAATAAGAGCTAATGACCTCTACAAAGTCCTACAGTCTCCAATACCTCCCCCGTCCCCCCCCCCCAAAAAAAAAAAAAAAAAAAACTCTCTCTCTCCCCCACCATGTACAGAGATTCTAGCCGAACAAGTTGATTTTTGTCTCTTCTAGGATAGTTTTATAATCCGAATAAGTAGAATTATTGGTAGTGTAATGGTGGTAAAGCTGTAAGGCAGATCGGGGCAAAAGATAGTGGAATTGGTCCTGTTTGGATAGAGGACCACCCACAATCACTAAGCTTGGATTATAGAATTAAACCGGGTTCGGCATCGGTCTCATGACAAGGCGTCATCATTGCGTGAGCAATGGTAGTGGTTGTGGTCCTATTCGATTACTGTTTTTTTCCTTTTGGATGAAGTATAAAGGAAATGGAGGGGTAGTGGTGGGAATTGAGAATACCAACCACCAACCAAAATGTTGACTCTGCAATGTTTATGTGTTCGATATGTTTTGAGAATAATGATACTACTTACTGTGTATTTGAACAAGAAGGCCTAATTAAATGTATAGAGTGCTGAACCGATTGTTTCTTTCTTTTGACAACTTGTTTGATTTTCGTTGATACTTTCATGTACAATTATAAATGAAGGGAAGTCGAATCAAGATATCTTCAAGTATTTCAATTTTGTATAATTTCTTTCAATAATAAATCATCAATTTGTATGGATGGACCAAAGTTTATCTACTAAGTTCCACTAGGAGTTGTAACTTACGATTGAAAAAAAAACCACCGAACAATATCAAATCTAGAGATGTGACTTTTACATCTTGGGCTAAGTAGGTGTAAAGATTTTCTCGTGTTAGCAAATCTCATCAACGTCAATTGCATGTGAATGAGTGACAAAATCTTTGACTTTTGGCCTCATACCTAAACTCTGTCTGTTGCAAACCCTCATTAGTACCATTGAAACATGTGAAAGCATAACAGAGTCTCTAAGAATTGGTCTCATACCTGATATCATGAACACTTTTGAAAAATCATAGATGAATTTCTTTGCCAATTGTTAGTGCCTTCCCACTCTTCAAACACATTTGGCCCCACCTCGCAAATTCTAAGTTGGCTGCAGGTAGGAGTTGACACAAACATGTCCATTAAGTCGAGCACTATTAGAAATGCATATACCAGGCAAAGTTAGTGCAAGACTGCCGAACAAGATTCCAAACCATTCATTTCCCAAGGTTGTAGCAAAGGTATTGTATAAATAATGGGTTAATTACAAAATGCTCCCTTCAAGTTTGGATCAAGTTGCAATCAACTCCCTCTAGTTTGTATTTCAATAAATTACCCCTTCAAAGTTTGTACATTTTTCAATTAACTCAAATTGTTAGTTCCAACGGTGAAAAATAATAGAAATGAATTCACATGATCTCAAATTTATTAAAAAGAGAAAATTAGCCTAAATTCAAAAAAAAATTCCTCACGTCAAAAAACTCTCCATTCTTCGTCCCAAGACAAAATAATGTGAATGGTGATCTTTTCTCTTCGTAGAATTTGATATCATGTGATTTACAAATGAATATTTTCGGTCATTTTTCACTGTCAAAATTAACGGCTTAACTTAATTTATGAATATTCAAACTTTAAGGGGATATATCGTCGAATCTAAAACCAGAGGGATTTGATTGAATATGACCTAAACTTGAAGGGGACATTTTGTAATTAACCCAATAATTATACTATATGCAATGGAGTATGCTCAGGCCAAAACTAACCTACAAACAAGAGCCTGAACCAATAGTATTGGATTGAAAATTTGACTCGGCCCTTTAATAGAAAAATCAAACCAACTAGATCAAAATTCTCAAACTAGTTCAAAAATAGCCTCAGCAATTTGTTCTGACCTATATGTGTTTGGACGGCATTACAATTTGAAATGAGCTCATTTTTTAAGGAAAACATCATACCAATTCAATCACAAAATTATTGGCCTGTTCCATTTTGACATAGGCGTCCATCACACATAATTCATTAACATGTAAACCACAACTCAATTTGTGCAATAGCTTTCTAATTATATGTTGGCACTTGAGCTATATAGTATCAACAACTTTGGTGGTTTTCTGTGTATTGACCAATTCAATCTGCACCAACCATATGTCAAATGTAAGGATAGTTCTCAAGTTTTAGCTTCCAAATCATCTCAAGGAATCATTGTCTCCATTATTTGAAATCGGCCACATGTATGTGTATCGTCTTGCCAATCCACTTATATAGAGTCATATCTTCAATTAACTACACACTAATGCCTTCCAACCAATATTAACTGTGGCCTTCCTTCCCTCTAGCACTTCCCTCAATGCTTGTGGACCATGAATGCATATGGAAGAGTTGCTTTTGAGCTGTCTAGTTTTATACCTGGGACATCGTAGTTGGTAGAATCGTTTTCAAGTCTAAGAAAATGGAATCATACGTGTCCCAAGCAACTTACCTATATGTGATGCAAAAGATGACAAGACTAAGATTGTCAATTGTCATCCTTGCTTACCAGAAGAAAACAAAAAGATTGCCATTGTTGGATGAATATCCAAAGGATATTCTATGCGAAACCAAGTCCAAGAAGGTGCCAAAGCGAAAAAAAAAAAAATTCTAAGATGTGAATGTCTCTAAAAGTTTTTTTCCTTTTCTCTCTAACTCTGTATAACAGAAGTTAAAGAATGCTTTTATTAAAGGTATTCTCCGCAAAGACTCCATACCTGGTCCATTGGTGATATCAACTGTCTTGATATAGTACCATAATTTCTGCAAATAGATAAATACGCAACAGATTAAGCAATGAATAAGCACAGGAAAATGACCAACTTAATTGTATCAATAGTTATGACGTTATTATCATATGGCATCGCAAATTCATCAAGCTGCATAACAACAGTTAGATATCTGGATTGCTAATAGAAAATTCAAGCCATGAGGAAGAAACTTGTAAGTCTAGAAAAGCGTATAAATCTAACAATTGATAACCGCGAAGTTGGCAGCAAGGGGGAACTGTTTGCTAATAAGAATAACAAAATTCAACCTTCCATGGCCTCGGGGAAAATTCAGTTGCATTATCATAATTTTTCTTATTTTTGCCACAATGAAAATAGCGTCTAATATGAGGACATCTAATGCAAAATTTCTTGCATATGGTGAATGTAAGGCACAGGCATGCTAGAAGTGGTCAAACAAGCATATACAAAAGAAAGGAACAAACCCATATGGACCTTTTGTGCTGGAATGCCTTTGGGCTATCTGGATGACAACCTTTAATTATCTTTGTTTTCGTTTTAGCCTCTGGAAATTGGGCTTTATTGGCTGGCTTGCTGTTGTGCCTTGATCTGCAGCAATAATGGGCCTAACCGGTACCAAAGGCCTCTTTGTCTCCACGCTGACACTACTTGAGACAATGGGTGAAGTTATTTTTGTCTTTAATTGTCTTGGAACCTCTAGCCTCTCTAGTATCCTCGAAGTTTTCTCATCCAGTTGCCTAGTACCTTCTGGTGGTGATACCACTGGTTGATCCAATTTCGGTCTGAAAATACAAGTAGGCGAATGTATCTTTGGGACCTCACTGACAATCAGCCGTTCCCATTCTTCTGTTATACTTGCATTAGTTTTGTCCTCTCTCATCTTTACATCCAACTGTGGGATTTGCTCTTCTATGACTACAGCATCAGTTGCCTGCTTTGAAGGTACAGCCTCTTCTGAAGAATCTTGCTCAACTAAGTTCGACTCCAAGGTCAACTCTTTCAATTTTGGAGGTATTGATCTGGAATATTCAAACAATAAGCTAATCTCACTTGGATTGCATTGTTAAAAACTGGAATTCACCATATATACCACCTTTACTGAACTGGTAAGCAAAGGTTTCACTAATAAGCTAAGCAGTTGAAGAATCTGCATTCACATTTCAATTTTCTTCTCCCTATTAGGCGAAGGGACAGAATGCTTCTCTATGACTAAAGTTTTGTAGTGAAATAAATATAATCATCACTAATATCCCAAGTAATAGTAAATATCAGAGACAAGATGTGGATAATATAGAGAATATTTTGGACAGACAGAATGAGCTGACTATATTTGAATGCCATAACAGACAAAATGGTTCACTGCAAGTAAAAGAAAATGGCAGATCTCTCAAAGTGCACATTTATGTTATTTCACAGGCGTCAACTGGACTTGTGTATGAAGAACATCAATGCATCAAACTTGATTATCCTGGTGTCAACTTGTGAGGACATCTCAGAAGCCCCAATCAACTGAGCATGAAAAAGGAAATTACAAACTTGGTAGTAAAGAAACTCGCTCAAATTTGTCAAAATGATTGCAGCTACAGATATGCTTCTAGAATACATCTTTTTGGTGTGTTAAAAAGGCTCAAGATACTTACTCAAAAAAAAAAAGAAAAGACCACTCAAGATGAATGGAAAAGATAATTACCCAAATTGTATGCTTTGTTTTACAAGCGAGTTTAGTATTTGATGGAAGCCTCTCTCATGCAGGACTGGATTGTAGTCACCGACTTCCATCTGGGAAAAATTGAAGGCATGAACACGCCATTCCTGATATGCACAAAAAACAACTATGGCCAAACGAAGATGAGCTTGATATTATGTCATGTAAGCATGTACATTTTCAGCATAAATTTTGAATCCTCAGATGGTCCCAACTTCAGAAAGTTTCAAATTGACATAATACTCTTTCAGGATCCACTATTGTATATTGACTTCTGCCCATGGTCATTCTCCGCATCACGAGATATATATAAATAAACCCCTCCACCTTTTTCTCACACAATGACATACAACAAGTCCATGGATTCGCTGAAGGTGTTGCCTTGCTTACAATGTAAGATCTCATTGGGTGACATTAGCATGTCTGAATCACCCAAATAATTTCATCTTATCAGAAGTGTGTCTAAATTGCCCCAATAACTTCATCTTATCAACACTTTGTAACGCCCCTGAAGAGGGCATCTGATAATACACAAATTGACAATAATAAAAAGTTTCCCAAAGGAAAAAACGGTAAGACAAAATCCAACCTTCAATAAAGCAGCACGAACAGAGTGTTCAATCTCCTTAGAGACTGTAGATTCGATTAATTGGCTGACGTCAGGGACAGGCAAGACTTCCTCTGATCCTGCGATCCGCTGCAAGTCTTGCAATATAGTGTAATTAAGACGAAGAAGCAGATATATACAAGCAGAAAGGCTAAGGAATTTGTCTACCAATTAATAAAAAGATCTACTAAAAAGCATCCATGCCACTCCTCGTAAAAGGGAACCATGGGACGAGGAAGAGACACAGTAGGATAAAACCTTGAAAAGAAAAAGGAAAATTTTTGTCCCATTTAGCATAAACTTGCCAACCATCACCAGAACTACTTCGCCCAGCAAACATTCCTTTCACAACCACCTACCACTATTGACAAGATGTTCAGTGATCTTCCAGATTCAAGCTCCCAAAACTTAGGAATAACATTGAAAGAAAAATGATCACTGAAATGAAGGTAAAACAAAACAAATACTATAATTCAGATGATGTGGTGATAATATGGAAATAGTGCGAGTAGAGAATACCAAACTGATGATAAAGGTTACTCATAAACAATGGAAACAATGCACATGCACACACACACAAACACACATACATGGAGAGGGGAGGGAGAGGGAGTAATTGGGTAGATGGGTTGGGAAAACGCCAGACCAACTGTTAAAACTTCATACAACCACCATCACCAGCCTCTTCATTGAACCCTTAACATCACCCTAACAATAACCTCTCATCACTACCTGGACCTCCCCATCCCCTCTCTCTTATGCCAATTGTTCCAATGTTGACATTTTTGTACAACCAAAGGAGTGGTCTGTCAAGACTCACAAATCAGAAGAGAGGTCAGTGCTAGTTTAGAGACTTGAGGGGAGGTAATGCAACTGCCAGAAACCTTCCAAGATAGTTAGTGAAATCTACCTAAAAAAAGTGGGGAAAATATGTACCCTGAGAAGCATCAGTCCTCTGTCTGAAGGGAGAAGAATATAATAGCATTGGAAGGAAGTCTCTCTCACAGGTTCTATATTACAATTTGAAGAGCAAACCAGACCTTGGTCAAGGGAATGAAGTGCAGTGGAAAGCCCTTGAAAAACTGCCAAATTACAGCCAAAGTGTACAACAAAATCAACAGCTACTTAGAAATAAAAACTCCAAGATAAAACCATAATATTTGCTAAAATTTAAAACCAATAAAATTGGAGAATAAAATTCAAATTCTACAAGTTTAGCATTATTAGAGCATGAACAGCAACTCAAAGGGAGGCCCTTCCACTTGCCTTGAGTGTTTAGCTCTGTCTTATCCATATCATCTGACTCATGACAAGCTGATGGAGTTACAAGATAGGAAGCCCCTAAAATAACTCCTGTTTAAGAATAACAAAAAGGGAGAGTTAACCACAAATACATCCTTAATCTGTCGCTTAGAGGATAATCAATACAAACTGCACAAGTTGAGTCTATGCGAGAACTCTCTTTCACCAAGTGTTCTGATAGCTACATTTCTATTGTAGTTATCAGACAAGTGATATTTTGTCTGACAAGTGAGAGACATCTGATTATCCTGTTAAGTCATAAATACAAATTGCAGGTGATCTGTGCAAAACCAACAAAAGAAGACGTGAAGTGGGCAATGAAAGCATTCTAAAAATTACAAAATCTGGAAATCAAGAATAAATGTAAAATTTAAAGTTAGTTCTTTCAATAATATTGAAATTTGAACAAAGTGTTCAAAGGTAAAACTTAAAGTAAGACTCTCATGGTGTCACTGAACCATAATGTGTGGGATGCACACCTCAAATGCGGGGCAATATTAGATGTGCAGCTCAAGTCCCTCACACAATTCACATTTATAGGTTTGAAACTCAAGGTGGCATAAAATATGGCCATAACATAAGTAATTAGTTCTTTTAGGAAATGTAACTAGCTCAAGCACGTAAACTTTTATTCGTATTGCAACAAAAATGGGAAATGGGCTTGCGATTTACCTTCACTTAGAGACCCTAAGTTAGTCCTCTCAATAATATTGAAGTCTACAGATGAAGAAACTTGCCGGAGCCTCAGAGAACATTGGGAAGAGGGCATAAAGAGTACTGTTTTTTCTCCAACCTTTACAGAATTTTCAATCAAATCAAATTCTTCCAGATAATTGCCTGTGACTGGACAAGAAGAAGACTCGTCGATATTCTTGCCATGGGCGTCATTTAATGGAATGCCATGACACCTGCATGTCTTTGTGATAACACCAATGACAGGTACAGTTACTGACATGAAGTATATGACATATCCACAAAAGAACTGAGGAGAAATAAGAAAAAAATATGCAATGTCTTTTCCCAATTAACAATGGATATTAATAAACTCATTTTTCCTATTACCAAATGTAGGACTTTTTGCATACACCGTCATGCAACAAGCATAATTTTATCAACTATTTCAAACAGATGTTAAGCGCCCAAGCCCTTTTCTTTCAGATATGCTCCACAAGAAGGACCATTAGAAAACATTCTCATTGGACTTCATAAAAGATAACTAGGAGCATATTGGATGACATTTGCTTGTATGTGAACATCCCATCACTCCACAATAGAGACCCCATACACTTCAGAAAATGTAATGGAGCTAATGTCTTTTAGTTGTCAGAGTTCTAAAAAACTTAAGAATACAAAATAGGCGTCGTAATGTGGAACTTTGCAGAACTACAGGCTTACAAGTATTTGTGAGCATTGTTTGACTCAGCTGTTAGAATGGTAAAGCAGATTTTAGTTATATACAGAACAAACTGTACAAATACAATTGAACCTCTAGTCTTGTATCTTCAATTTGAAACACAGAACTGGAATGCAACCACACAAGTTTTTAAATATAGACTCTCAACCTATAACAACCTNAAACTGTACAAATACAATTGAACCTCTAGTCTTGTATCTTCAATTTGAAACACAGAATTGGAATGCAACCACACAAGTTTTTAAATATAGACTCTCAACCTATAACAACCATGTATGAGCTATAATTTGTGAAGACCATTACAAACCAATGTTAGTTGTACAATATTAGATGTTTAAGGAGTATAGAGGCTCAAGAACATCATACAATGGCTTCCCTAGCAGGATTCAAGTTAATAACTGCTGCAATAGTAAATCATTGTAACTGTTGGAAAGCATAAAGTCCACGTTGAATGCATCAACCCAGCAATACCTTCCAACTAGTGTCTAAAGATTTGCATGCTTCTCAGCTGAGATGCCCAAACAATTTTAGATTGGCTAGAGATAAAACAATTGTTTTGGAGAAGACATGTAACTAAGGTGGCCAAGCAGCGTAAAATATTTAGGGAGTAAATATTTAAGTATCTTTTCAAAGCAGAACTTGCATACAATAATACCTGGCAAGGACTGAATCCATCCATTATGTAAGTGAAAGATGTGTACAAGTTGCAGGATATCTGGTTCAAGGAGCCTACAAGGTTACTCTTGAAGAAAAAATGAGCCTGTAACGGTTCTTCCACGTCGTCCATCAATTCCCGTAGCCATTGTTTTACCAGGCCACACAATACCTGTGAATCTGCGAATTTGTATTTTATCAGTTCTTAACATATCACTTTCTACATCCCCGCTCAGATTAGTTCGTTATGAATCATACACATATAGACATTAAACTGCAGTCCCTGCTTAGATACAAATTGTTCAATCTGGAACAAGGATTTTTGTCCGTTCTGCTTTGTCATCTTATATACCATAGCAGCATTAATAGGACCCTACCAATATCTTGGACTGTGGCCAAGTTTTGGCCAGGGAAGATGGTAAATTTAAGTTTTTTAAATTATTTTCTTCCACCAGTTGGTTTACACTTTCTTACTCTCTTAGAACGACTTGACAAGCTAATCACCTGTTACCAATAAATACAGGAAGCATGTGTGATTTCCTTAACTTTGGGTTCTCATGGGAATTATTTTTCCACACCAAAATTGTTCAAGAATTCAGAAATATGTGGTGCAAGATCTCATGAAGTCAAAAGGACTGATTCTGAAGCAAAGATAAGGCATGACTTCCTATTTTTTTTTTCAAAACAATAGTAACAAAGGAGTTAGGAAGTGGACAAGAAGTTATTTTGTCATTTCTTAAGCCTGATGTTTAGGACAAAGCCAATGTTGATTGCACAGAGGAGGAATGCAACTATAACAATTTCAGCTATAAGCACTTACAACACTGTCATGCAAAACAGGGTTGATGACTCATATTAGTCACTGGATGCTTCATTCGAATAAATTGACAACATTGTCAGATTGTATAATCAACTGGCAAAGTCTGTTTAAAATCTATATTTTCCAAAAAATGAATTTTACAAAGGCAGACGGAGTGTGTTTAACCTGGAAGGTATCCTCGAAATGAGCAGTTCTCAAGATAACAGATCTGCTTTACAAAGCTGTTAATATTCTGTGTAGTATCACCAAGGTGGTTTGACATTTGCTCCAACAAAACAAATTCCACCGAAATACACTTGTCTGCCGCATCCTATCAAAAAAAGGACGGGATCCACCAAAATTTCAAATCCATAGCTCATGTTTACGACATGCCAATAGCACTCTACCATACCACAGAATTGAAAATACACCCGACATTTGGCTCACCATGAGAGTTTTTCTAGTGACGGGATCTAGATTCTCAACAAGACACGAGCTGATCATAATCACTTTTCTTGTGATATCTTTCTCATTTACTCCCCACGAATACAAAATTTCATCACTCAGAACAGTCGAAAGTTTCACATCTGCTAACAATGACCAAAAACAGGCATGACAATAATTAGAGGCAAACACAGAATTAATGGCATTGGTGCACACATCCATTAATGTACTCATACAGACACAGACACATGATAGTAGGCATATATATTACCGTCACAACAGAGAGCTCCAGAAGTGTTAAGTTCAGGTGCGAAGGCATCGGTAGGCAAGTTGTTGACGGCATCGTGGAAATCACGGAGGCTGAAGTTTCCTCTTGGATTATATGCAACCTTCAGCTGCTTGAAATATAAATTACATCACAAATTGTCATATTCGTTGAGTTTCTCTCGTTAATTATGGGATAAATGGAAAATTTCGCACTTATATAATTGGCACAACCCTAAACCAAATCAAATGGAGCCATAATGGACATAGATACATACATTTATAAGGTATATACCTCATCTGCGCCAGAAATTCTACTTTTGAACACGTAGCACAGTCCAATGCGATCACGCAGGGGCTTCGAGTGTGTTCGATCATTGATCGGAGTCGAAATGGCGTAGAAATTTGCGAGTTGCAGTAACGACTGACATGTCAAAGAATACACACGACACAACAAATCAATCTCACTGATTACTTACAGTGAGTCACGATTTAAAGGCAAATCCATAACAGTATTGAATTCGAGATTAAGAATAGAAAAGAGAACAATATATAGGTTAAAGAGTGATCAGAGGAAGATGGAAGACGCATGTACTTGTTTTAAGTCTCGAAGCAATGGAGGCGACAGGCTTCGCAGATCCAAAACGAAGCACAGCATCACCATCTGTCTTTCTCTCTCTCTGTGGATATCGGTTTGGGCACGGTTTTGGCGCGCGCAGGGTTGTTTTGTATTTGATTTTATGCAGCACGAACGGTACTTTTAAGTGGTAGTCGAATTTTTAACAAATATTTTGGAACAGTTGACGAGTAATTTATTCCAAATTTAATTTGGTGCGAAAGATTTATTTTTGACCGGATCCGAGAGAAATTAATCAAGGCGCATATAAGCTGAAGTTGACCTGAACAACTTTATTGTTAAACTAAAAAAAATATTTGATTTTGTGCGATACAAAATATTGCATTTTTATTATATAAAATAAGTAAATTTTAAGTGACGACAATTATGTAGTGTCACTATGAAATCTTTTTTATGTTTAGACCTATTAAACCAATGACTCGACCTGATTTAAGGTCCATGGATGATCCATTGACCCTCAAATTTCGAGGGGATAAAAAGAAAGAAAGAAAGAATTTACAATTTTGAAAGAAAATCAATACCATTAATAAAGAGAGAGAGAGAGAGGGTGATTGTGGTGTCCCCTTAAAAAATGAATATAATACCCTTCTTTCTTCACTTTAAAACATTGATTTTTTTTTGACTACATTTAATTACTCATTGCTCCCATAACCACCGATTTGAATTTATTTTAATCTCTTTCGCTTCCTTCTTTTTTTTTGCTACGTGCATACAAGTATTTTGTATACACAACTCTTATGTCCTGTTTGTTTGGTATGGTATGAAAGAAAAAAAATTAGATGAAAAAAGGTGAATGTAAAGTAAGAGAAAAAAAGAGATTTTCCGTTGTTTGGTTGCAATGGAAAACGCGGAGAAAAAAAAATGGATGCAAAAGTGTTTCATCTCGCCCACCATTTTTTTTCCTCCTGAAAATAGGCGAAAAACATGAGGAAAAGGTGTGTAAATGATTAAATTACTTCTATACCCTCCTTTTCTTTGACATTTCACTTTGCCCTTTCTTTCTTTTCGCAATTTCAAATCCAGCAACCCCTTAAGGTGGAGTCCAAATCCTTCAATTTTACTATGTTAATTTTTTATTAAGGGTATTTATGGTATTTGAAACAATAGTATTTTTCCCTATATTTTTTTTTTCAAAATAACTAAAACAATAAACTTATATCTCTTATATTTTTCCATCCATCCTATCAAACAAAAAAAATGAAAATAACTTTATTTAAGTCTATCCCTTCAAACTTTCCAGTCTCTCCTGTTTTTCATCCTTCTTATCAAACAAACCATTGGTCTTAAGATAAAGAAATGCTTGAGTTAGACAAGAGTATTCGAGCTTAACATAAAAATCCGCAAGCAGAAAACCCGCGAGCTTAACATAAATATTAAATTATAAAAGTATTCATTATTTTTAAAAGAAATTATATGTAAGAAAACTTGCGAGCAGGTTCGCCCAGAAGACCTGCCTAATAGGCTCGCGGGTTGGATTTACAAGTAGCTTATCCCTAATTGAAGTTTGGTCCGGCCCGCCCGATAACTCATTTAGATAAGGACTTGGGCCTACACTACCCAGGGTCCGCTCAAAAAAAAAATTGCGTCCTAGCCTTGCCTATAGACACCCCAATCCTCCAATGCAATTAACTATTAAATTTATTAAATTGTTAATGGACTCACTAAAACCCAATTACATAGAAAGGTAAAATTTGATAATAAATAATTAAATTAAGTTTTTTTTTATCATGCACTACTATAAGATTGGGAGCCGATGAGGTTCAAAAAACTATATCAAGTTTAAAAAATTAAAAACTAAGAGAAATTGAAATGCAACATAAGAGTCTATTTCCATGATTACACGCATTGTCCCTTACACATCCTAAGAGAAATTGAAACACAACATGAGAGTCTATTTCCATGATTACACACATTGTCCCTTACGCATCCTACAAAAATGTGAAATTACTAATAATTTTCACCCTTCAAAAACTCCACTACTTGCTATTGAATATTTATTATACTTTCTAGTTGGTACTTCATATTTTAACAGTGGCATTTTAAATCCTACTTTTATTAATACATGTAGAGACTATTTATTTTCATTTCCAATAATTTCTTGCCCATATCTTTGTTTTATTTCAACTAAATGGAATTATTTTATCTAGCAACCGCATATTGACCAAGCTCCTATTATCATAATTTATAAGTACTAGTTATTTCCTGTACTTGAAGGCGCAGAGTAATAAAAAAAATGATCAACAATAAATAAATTTGTATTCACATCTAAAATCAAAACACAAAGATAACGGAAAGAGAAAGGAATTTAAGCATCGATAATAATAGGGGCAAGCAATGACAGTGGTGGTGGGAAACGTTGATAATTGTGGTAGGTGACGACTATACTAATGGTGGTAGTAAGGTGACAAAACAAAAGGAGAAGATATTTATTATAGCGTTGATATCACATCATCGGTGATACATGATATCATCAACTAATAAAAATACAATACATAAAATAAGTGAATTCCACATGACGATAATTATGCAGTGTCACCATTGTAATGAAAATTTCTCTATGTTTGGACCTATTAAACCAGATGGTTCGACCTGATTTAACGCCATGGAGGACTTGATCCATCACCCCTCAAATTTCGGGGGTATAAAAAAGAAAGAAACAAAGAATAAGCAATTTTGAAAGAAAATCTATACTATTAATAAAGAGAGAGTGTGGTTGTAGTGTCCACCTAAAAATTGAATATAATACCTTTTTCTCTTCACTTTAAAAATTGAGTTGCTTATGATGCACTATGCGTGTGTATATGTGCATGCCTTTGTCCAAAAAAACAGAGTGTCGTCTCACATCGGTTGCTCAACAACAAAGATTGGAGTATAAGTGGCCTACTCCCAATTTCTCTTTTAAGAGGAATTGGTTGGTAGGTCCCTCTCCCGATCAATTGCATTAAGTTGTTTATGTTGTGTAGACTGTGTGTGTGTATATGTGTATGCCTTTGTCCAAAAAAAAAAATCATACATGGAACTTTTTTTTAACTACATTTAACTTCTCATAGCTCCCATAACCACCGGTTTGAATTTATTTTAATCTCTTTCACTTCTTTCTTCTTTTTCCTATGTGCACACAAGTACTTTGTGTACACAATCCTTCTGCCCTGTTTCGTATGAGAGAAAAAAAAGTGGATGGAAAAAGGTGAATGTAAAATAGGAGGCAAAAAGAGATTTTTCATTGTTTGGTTGCAATGGAAAACGGAGAGAAAAGAAAAATGGATGAAAAAGTGTTTCATCCCGCCCACCAATTTTTTTCCACCTGAAAATAGGCGAAAAACATGAAGAAAAGGTGTGAAAATTACTTCTATACCCTCCTTTGTAAGAGCCCCACCTTGCAAGCCTTTTCTTTGACAATTCACTTTACCCTTTCCTTCTTTTCGGAATCCCAAATCCAGCAAACCCTTAATGTGGGGTCCAAATCCTTCAATTTTACTTTGTTAATTTTTTATTAAGAGTATTTATGGTATTTGAAACAATAGTATTTTTTCGTATATTTTTTTATTAAGGATATTTTCCCACTATATCTGTTCTATTTTTTCATTCATTCTATCAAACAAAAAAATTAAAAATAATTTCATTTAAGTCTATTCTTTCTAACTTTTCAGTCTCTCTTATTTTTTATCTCTCTTACCAAACGCATCATTAGTCTNAACAATAGTATTTTTCCCTATATTTTTTTATTAAGGATATTTTTCCAATATATCCCTTCTATTTTTCCATCCATCCTATCAAACAAAAAAATTAAAAATAACTTTATTTAAGTCTATCACTTCTAACTTTTCAGTCTCTCCTATTTTTTATCCCTTTTACCAAACGCACCATTAGTCTTAAGATAAAAAAATGCTTGAATTAAACAAGAGCATTCGAACTTCACATAAAAACCAAACAATAACTAGCATGCTTTTTTAAAATTCATAATAATCAACAAATGAAAGTCATATCTTCTTATGTCTTGATAATTAACCTTAATAAAATCATAAGTGGTTTTTTTCTTATTAGAACATGAATAAAACCATCATCTTCAACTGCCTAAAACTCAAAGAAAGTCACATTTCCAACTTGATCCACCTCCAATTTAGACAGATTGATCAGTCTCTTCTTCAGCATCTCCATCGCCTCCGAATCATTCGGCGCAAACAACGCATCAGCAATGTTCAACATACCAGGATTCTGACTATTAAGCACAGAGAAAACAGTAGCCACGTCAAAACCAGAATTCAAAGAGTAATGTAGCATACCCCTTGGAACCACAAACACGTCACCTCTTCTAAGAAACCTTTGAAACAAATGTTTCTGAGTATCAACAAAACCAGCCACCACATTTCCTGTGCTGACAAAGAGAATCTCCGATGCTCTCGGGTGAGAATGAGGCAAGACCAGGCCATCAACATCCAAATCTGTCCTCGCAACCGATAACCCGAGAGTGTTTAGTCCTGGAAACTCAGAAGCAGTCACAATGGTGACCGACGAGCGAAGAAAGTGGTCTGTGTTACCTGCATGGTTTAGCAGTGAGTTCTTGAAATCAGAAGCAGTTATGAGGGATGGATTTTTGCAAGGAAAGCCGTTGATGAAGACGGTTTGTCGGGTCGTATTGGTGGGGCAGATATCCTGCAAGTTATCGGTGTCTACTGCTGAGATGAATTTGGGACATGTATAGAAGAACCATATTGAGAAGGCAATGCTAAATATAAGAGTGAACTTCACCATTTTTGTGTTGGTCTCGTGTGGATGAGTATGGTTAGTTGCTATCTTATTTTATAGAGATGTTGTATTATAAGTAATGGTTGTTTAAGGTTGCAGCAAATGGAAGTAAAATTCTAAGGCTTGGAGTTCACTATACACTACTGATTTAGAAGTTGCTTATGTTGTAAGAAGTACAATGCTTAGAAGAAAGCTACAAGGTTGAATGTCCATATGGCCGAAATATCTAGATTCAAGCTTAAGAGTAGTTCTAGTGGTAACATGGAATGTTGTGAATTTAAATTTTGATAATTCTTTAGGGTTAGGTTACGAGAAATTTATCTTTTATGAATATCTTAATTTCGATGTGGATGACATGTTTTTGACTAGATCAGAGAAGAAATTAATTGAGGTACACATAAACTAGTCCGAAAATCTCTTGACTATAAAATCAAAAAAAAAAAAAAAGGAATACCTAGATTGCTCCTAGCGAAATATCAATCCTATCTTTGCACTTTAGATAAAGATTTACAATGCATTTTTACTCGATTTAAATCACACACTACATCAATTTAAGAAAAACCCATCATGTTTAAGTTGGTCTTCTACTAATATATGGTAGATAATTTTTCATTAGAAAAAACAAAAAAAAAATTCTATTAGGATGGATTCAAATCTGATTGACGATCTGGAACAACTAAAAAAAGTTATTGCGGTAATTTTTTTTTTTTAGTTCAACGGTCAAGAGTGTTCGAATCAGTTTATGAGTATAACAATTAATTATATTCTCACTTCGGTCAAAGTAAGCCATCAATGCTAATACTAGAATATTCATGAGAGAAAAATCTCTCATAGCACGATTACTAAAAGTTGCCAAAATAAAGATAAACATATAGTTTTGTTTGACAATAATAGAAATTTTAATACTAGGGGTTGTAGTCGATCTATCTGAGATGATCAACTCCACGTCAAGTTGATACTCTCTGGTTCAATAGAAATATAAAAAATTTGGTCAGATCTTTTGACGGGCCCTAATTTGTGAGCTGAAACCCTGTTCATCAACTTTATTTCTCAGTTCACACTCCATATTTTCACCTGAAAAGCTCTTCCTTGTGTTTTGAAATTTCAGCGTGCGTTTGGTTACAGCGTGTTTTTATTTTTATTTTCAAATTTTTAAAAGAAAAAAATAAAAAATGTGTTTGGTGGAACTCGTTTGAGAACGTTTATGATTTTTGATTTTCTAAAAAACGAAAAACAGAATCAAAAAATAAAAAATATTTTTTTTTCGTTTTTGAAAATCGTCTCTCGTTTACAAAACGATGACAGAAAAACGATTATCAAATGAGTTTTTTTTTCTTATTTTCTCTAAATATCAAATTAAAAACAAAAAATAAAAAACAAAAAATATAATATTTTCTTTTTGTTAAGTTCTTTTGAAAGTTGTACTCAAAAATTGCAAACAGGAAAATGAGCGTGCGCCTGCGCAGGACTTTAATGAGGTCCGTCCATTGAACTCCTTTGGCAGCAAAATGGGGTTTTTTGCTGGAACTATTTAACCCCTTTTCTCTTTCCCCTCGATCTGTTCTGCTCACCGCCTCAACTGCTTTCTCTGCAACTCTCTCCTCTCTCTCTCTCTCTCTCTCTCTCTCTCTCTCTCTCTCTGCCAATCTCTCTTCTTTCTCTGCCTCAATGTTTGCCTTATTTCTCTCTGCCTCAATATGACCTGTTGCATCCTTCTTCTCTTTCAATTTCTCTCTTCGAACAAAGCCCCCCTAGGTAAATATATATAGAGAGAGATACATACATACATAGATCTTAGGGGTGGCCTGCGATATTTTGGAATCTTAAGCAAAAGCGAAAAATGACGCTTTTTTATTTTTAATATTAATAATAAATTTAATTTTTAATTTTTTTAAATACAAAAATATTAATTAAATTTGTATACTCAATTTTTGTTATCATATTTGAACTTAATAGTAAGATAGAGAAAGAATAATAGAAAAATTATGATAGTAAGTTTAAACTTGATTTTTTATGGGGTTAAAATTGAATTTTTTAATAGTTTTAATTTTACCGTTAGTTTTTTTTTTCTTTATTTAAAAAAATAAATTTTAGGGCCTTTTAATTTTACGGTTGAATTAAATCTATTTAAGTTGAAATATTTTGTTTAGGTATAGATTTAAATTTTTTGTTTGGACTATTACCGTATACTTATAAATTATGAGTCTTCTTTGAAGTGAGGATTTAAATTTTTTTTTTATTGGACTTGTATTTTTATAAAACCTTTTTATAGAGCTTAAAATATTTATAAATTTAGTTTTTTTAACCTAGACTATTTATGATATTTAAAAATTTTGGACCTTCTTTAAAGATGGGGCTTAAAACCTAAGTTTTTTTGATAATACTGTTTGAGCCGTCCTGATGGATGTGAATTTTTTTGTTTGTTTGTTTGTGCTAATTTTAGGGTTTCTAGTTTTGTGGATGGGTGCGCATGAGTGTATGCGCCTGTGTGTGCGCCTGTGTGTGCTTGCGTGTTTTTTTTTGAAAGATTGTGCTTCCGTGTTTGAGTGGCCCCATGTGTGCGTGTGTCTTAGCTAATTATTATATATATTCTGTATATATTCATTAAATTTTCCTTGTTATTTGATATATCTGCGTATATTCTACATATATTCATAGATCTACAAATATTTTGCATATATACAAAATATGGGTAAATATCTTATGAGCCCAAATCTAACTAGGTTAAGCCCAATAAATTCAACAAGTCCAAGTCAAGCTCAGTTCGTGAATTCAACCCAATCCTAGATCTGAAGAGTCCAAAAAGAATTAGAACACGTGGGGAGGAATTATCAGGATATACATTCTCGAAGATCAATATTAATTTAATTGTACTTACCTTTTGTAGGTATCCTCCCCAAAGATCTAGTACATTCGCTCTCACATCACTGCCTCACCTAAGGGCTTTCAAGCCTATAAATTATAAACTCTCTCCATTAAGACGGGTCTCTCACTATACATTGAGCTCTACCCCTACACCTCTCTACACACACATAACTTTTCTCTCTCCTAAAATATTGTATCCCTTCTGAAGCTAACCCATTGCTCTCTTTCTCGATCACCATATTTTATCAATAAAAAGTCCCCCGGCCACTGTTGTCGTTTTTTGGAGTGGAGTAGGTCACCCGAATCGAACCACTATATATCTAAGTGTTGACCTGATACTTACATTATTGTCATTGATTGAATTATTAATTGTTTTATTAATAAAATTTTATCACACACTCGACTGTTAATCTTGTACATGACTATTTTGTGCATCATCAGTTTGGCGTCATATATGAGAAACGACTAAGTTTTCTACTACATTACTATTTCATGGCAATCACGACCAGGTCGATGAGTCAACAACCGGAGACAACAACTTGGCCCCTCGGGAGGAGGCTCTGCCTCCCCTCGCACCCTCAGAACCATCCACTGCGACGACTCCCGTGGTCGGACAACAACTTTTACAGACCATGCAGTTACTTGTAAAACAGAACCAACAAATCATTCAGTTGATGCTCGCCTCGAGACCCTCAGTCTATAAGAGGAGCACTACTCCCTCCGACGAGAGAAGCAATGCAACGTCTCCACTTTGGGCGTCAAGCCGCCCTCCACTTTGGAGCCTTAGGCTAGAACGCCCCCAGGCAATGCCTGGGCACCCCTCACCCAGGAGTCCCTCCTCAGCGCGCATGAAGCGCATATGTTCCCCCTCCTTATGTACCTGTGCAATAGGACAAGGGAGAAACCCAGTATACCAATCATGAAAGTCATTACAACGACCCGGCTGAGGATGTCCCCAACTAATAGGACGAGAAGATCAGAGAGGTGCAAAACCAACTCGGTAATACCCTCGATGCCATCAAGGCACAAGTGCCAGAGACTGTAGACTACCTGGTAAGGCGTACTGATACTCTGTTTGTGGCANAATGGAATGAGCCTCTGTCACGGCAGCCCTCTCCCGAGTTATACGTAGTTTAGCCTCCAGTTTTGTGGCCCTCTCACGAGACGTCCGCAGCTCTGACTTTACTCTCGCGCAGGTAATCTCCTTATAAGCCTTTATCACAGCAGCCCTCTCCCCGAGCTATACGTAGCTCAGTCTCCAGCTTTGCGCCCCTCTCACGGGACGTCTGCAGCTCTGACTCTGCTCTTGCACAGGTAGTTTCCTTATAAGCCTTTACCACGACAGNCCAATGGCTGGCCAAGCTCAAGCCTTTTTCATTCCTTTGCAGAGTTAAGCAAGTTTTTCGTCTCCCACTTCATTGGGGGACGCCGACACCAAAAGTTAGTTACCCATCTGCTCACCATCAAGTAGGACCAAGATGAAAGCCTTATGAGCTACCTCACTCATTTTAATGAAGAGGCTCTTCAGATCGAGGAGTCAGACGACAAGGTGACCATGATCGCCTTTATTGCAAGTCTGTGTTCCTCTAGTTTCATGTTCTCTGTNTGGCCTCCAGCTTTGCCGCCTTCTCACGGGACTTCCGCAGCTCTGACTCTACTCTCGCATAAGTAGTCTCCTTATAAGCCTTTGCCACAGTAGCCCTTTCCGAGCTATACGTAGTTCAGTCTCAGTTCTTGCAACCCTCTCACAAGACATTCGCAGCCCTAATTTTGCTCTCATGCAGACACTCTCTTTATCAGCCTCCAACTTCTCGGCCCTCATGCCAAAAAGTTCGGTCTCAAGAGTCGCGTCTCTCATGAGCAAGCCTTAACTACTCCTCAGCAATCTCTCGAAGCTCGCCTCTCTTTCGCCAAACCCCAAGATGTCTCTCCAAGTTTGATCGTTCTTGAAAAGAGGTAGGGAAAAGCGGCAGTCACCTTCAAGAATCCAAAAGGCAGAACATGAAGAAAAGGAGAAACCCTCCATCGCGGTATTGATCATGCCTTCTGGACCTCGAGATCCAACCTCTCTGATATCCTTGGGAGTCACAAACCTCTAAATTCGCTCCTTGGCTAAAGTCACATCAAAACATGGACACTGATCCACTACTAGAAGCAAGGCAGCTATGTGGAGCTACAGTCCCCGTAGATGACCACATTATAGTCTCAACTCCTACAGCGGTATAAAGGCTACCTCTGATACACACAGAAGTCCCAGTCTGAGAAGGAGTGGGGCACCACCGGATCCCACTCCTAGGAAGCAACTTGGCTATCGAACATCAATCGAAAAACACTGGGGGCATCAAACCTCTCCCTCTTGAGAAGAAGGAAAGATGATTCCTTAGAAGCATAGAGAGCCTCAACCATTGCTCTGTCAACAGGGCACCTATAATTAGAGACAAGATCAATATAAAGAATCAGCATCGAGAAAACATTACGAAGAAAACAGGATTGGAGAAAGTGGGTTTACCTAGCCAAAAACCATCATAGTCTCCTTCTTTGGAAAAACCCCAAACACCAACTCGCCGCCCATGAATGCTTGACAGCAGCCTACCTGAGCGAAACTTCACACCCCTGTCAGTTTCACTAATTTGTGTTTAAAACTCAAATTTAGAGAGATAGAAGCATTTTGGGGGGAAATTTGTTGCCCAAACTACCTTTGACTATTTGTATGTCGTAGATCTCGAAAAAATACTCAGACTAAAAAAAAAATTCTCCTCAAACAGAAAATCGAGCACAAAGTTATGGTTGTTCAAAATTTTACCATTTTTTTGTGGTTTTTTGATACTTTAGTAGGCTCCCCAAGCCTCCCAGGCGTCGCCCAGACCACATACATCTTCTGGCATCACCCAGGCCTCCATGGTGGCTCCAAGACCAACTTCTGCTCCAAGGCGTTGCCTCATGCTCTAAGTTAGCGCCCAGCACCAGCAGCCAGCGCCCATGCCAGACAGCACCAACCAGCCTAGGCAGGCATCACCCAGGCCAGCGCCTCGGCTGGCATCGCCCACCTCGCTGTCGCCCTTCTGCATTTCACCCAAGAAGGACCTCTCCGCTCCTGGCACCAGTGCCCAATGCACCATCCCTTAGTGCCCTCGGCATCGCCCTTAGTAGCCTCTTTTCCCATTTGCAATGCTCGCCTGCTACACCTTGGATGTTTATAGCATCACCCATCGTTGCCCCAACAGTAGGACCGCCTTCTGTAGCGCTGGCATTGGCGCCTCCAGCCACTCCAAGAGCAGTGTAGCTCCTTTTGATTTTTGGGAAGCTCATGGCCTCGTTTGATTTGGGCATCCTCTTTGCCTTCATACCACACTTATTCAATCTCCCTCGATTGTTAGTAAAGTGAAGAAGATCAAAGGTATATTAGAGCCCTCAGTCTAAAGAAGATGCTTTTGAGCAAAGTAATAATGCACCTTAAAATCCTAGAGGTTAGAGCCCAAGATAAAAAGAGGGATCAGAGTTTAGTGAAAACCAGGCACAAAAAAATGGCTAATACAATGGGTGCCCAACCATGGAGTTGTCAGAAGAAGAAAAAAATATCCCAGAGTACAGGAGCATGAAGCTTAGGAAGCTAACACCATGGAGAACAAGAAACTTTTTGCCCACTCAAAATGGACAAGTCACTCATGCCCTCAATCTCCTTGGCATCGCAAGGACTTGGGGTATGGGAGGCAAATGATGAGCCCAAATCTAACTGGGTCAAGCCTAATTCCAGCAAGCCCAAGTTAACCAAAAGGTAAGTCAAGCCTAATTCATGAATTCGATTCAACCTAAGGTCCAAAGAATTTAAGAAGAATTAGAGCATGTGGGAGGAATCATCGAGATTTACACCCTCGAGGATCAAGGCTACCTTAATTGTACTTACCTTTTGTAGTTATCCTCCCCGAAGATCTAGTACCTTCACCCTCACATCACCACCTCACCTAAGGACTTCATGTCTGTAAATTGTAAACTTTCTCCATTGAAAGGAGCATTTCACTATATATTGAGCTCTATCTTTTATACCTCTCTACACACACGTAACTTTTCTCTCTCCTAAGTTATTGTATCCCTCCCGGAGCTAACCATTGCTCTCCCTCTCGATCACCATACTTTATCAATAAAAAGTCTTTCGACCACCGTTACCATTTCTCAGAGTGAAGTAAGTCACCCGAACCGAACCACTATATATCTGAGTGTTGACCCAATATTTATATTATTGTCATTGATTAATTTATTAATTGTCTCATTAATGACATTTTATCACACACCTNAAAGATGATTCCTTAGAAGCATAGAGAGCCTCAACCATTGCTCTGTCAACAGGGCACCTATAATTAGAGACAAGATCAATATAAAGAATCAGCATCGAGAAAACATTACGAAGAAAACAGGATTGGAGAAAGTGGGTTTACCTAGCCAAAAACCATCATAGTCTCCTTCTTTGGAAAAACCCCAAACACCAACTCGCCGCCCATGAATGCTTGACAGCGGCCTACCTGAGCGCAACTTCACACCCCTGTCAGTTTCACTAATTTGTGTTTAAAACTCAAATTTAGAGAGATAGAAGCATTTTTGGGGGAAATTTGTTGCCCAAACTACCTTTGACTATTTGTATGTCGTAGATCTCGAAAAAATACTCAGACTAAAAAAAAAATTCTCCTCAAACAGAAAATCGAGCACAAAGTTATGGTTGTTCAAAATTTTACCATTTTTTTGTGGTTTTTTGATACTTTAGTAGGCTCCCCAAGCCTCCCAGGCGTCGCCCAGACCACATACATCTTCTGGCATCACCCAGGCCTCCATGGTGGCTCCATGACCAACTTCTGCTCCAAGGCGTTGCCTCATGCTCCAAGTTAGCGCCCAGCACCAGCAGCCAGCGCCCATGCCAGACAGCACCAACCAGCCTAGGCAGGCATCACCCAGGCCAGCGCCTCGGCTGGCATCGCCCACCTCGCTGTCGCCCTTCTGCATTTCACCCAAGAAGGACCTCTCCGCTCCTGGCACCAGTGCCCAATGCACCATCCCTTAGTGCCCTCGGCATCGCCCTTAGTAGCCTCTTTTCCCATTTGTAATGCTTGCCTGCTACACCTTGGATGTTTATAGCATCACCCATCGTTGCCCCAATAGTAGGACCGCCTCCTGTAGCGCTGGCATTGGCGCCTCTAGCCACTCCAAGAGCAGTGTAGCTCCTTCTGATTTTTGGGAAGCTCATGGCCTCGTTTGATTTGGGCATCCTCTTTGCCTTCATACCACACTTATTCAATCTCCCTCGATTGTTAGTAAAGTGAAGAAGATCAAAGGTATATTAGAGCCCTCAGTCTAAAGAAGATGCTTTTGAGCAAAGTAATAATGCACCTTAAAATCCTAGAGGTTAGAGCCCAAGATAAAAAGAGGGATCAGAGTTTAGTGAAAACCAGGCACAAAAAAATGGCTAATACAATGGGTGCCCAACCATGGAGTTGTCAGAAGAAGAAAAAAATATCCCAGAGTACAGGAGCATGAAGCTTAGGAAGCTAACACCATGGAGAACAAGAAACTTTTTGCCCACTCAAAATGGACAAGTCACTCATGCCCTCAATCTCCTTGGCATCGCAAGGACTTGGGGTATGGGAGGCAAATGATGAGCCCAAATCTAACTGGGTCAAGCCTAATTCCAGCAAGCCCAAGTTAACCAAAAGGTAAGTCAAGCCTAATTCATGAATTCGATTCAACCTAAGGTCCAAAGAATTTAAGAAGAATTAGAGCATGTGGGAGGAATCATCGAGATTTACACCCTCGAGGATCAAGGCTACCTTAATTGTACTTACCTTTTGTAGTTATCCTCCCCGAAGATCTAATACCTTCACCCTCACATCACCACCTCACCTAAGGACTTCATGTCTGTAAATTGTAAACTTTCTCCATTGAAAGGAGCATTTCACTATATATTGAGCTCTATCTTTATACCTCTCTACACACACGTAACTTTTCTCTCTCCTAAGCTATTGTATCCCTCCCGGAGCTAACCATTGCTCTCCCTCTCGATCACCATATTTTATCAATAAAAAGTCTTCCGACCACCGTTACCATTTCTCAGAGTGAAGTAGGTCACCCGAACCGAACCACTATATATCTAAGTGTTGACCCAATATTTATATTATTGTCATTGATTAATTTATTAATTGTCTCATTAATGACATTTTATCACACACCTGACTGTTAATCTTACATTAGACTATTTTGTGCATCATCAATATCTATCTCCAATTTTGGAATTGAACCCACTTTTGCCTTTGAGCTTTCCTACTACTATGGAAGACCTCCTTATTCATATAAATCCAGGTTCTATTTGAATGCAATAGAGAATGCACAAAAACCAAGCATATATGTCTTGCTGCAAATTGGTGCCTCAAGTAGTGGCAGGCACTAATCATAGTTTGGACAATTTTGCCACTTCTCACGTCCCATAACCTGGATAATCACCATTTGATTTCCACAATGTAAAGGAACAAGTGAGTTGGAAATTGTTGTGTTCTCTATGTACTTTCTTTAAGAGAATGGCTAAGCAATTGAACTTAGCTCTGTAATTGGTGTTTGAGACTTGGAACGGGAAACAATGGCTTGTTGAGGAAGAGGGTGGTGGTAGCCAAATGCGGGGTGTGAGCAAGGGCTGTCGGATTGTAAGGGGATTGTAGGATGATGATCTCCTTTTTTAGGTAGATGAGATGCATTTGTTTATTGATCTATTGAGAAGGCTTTATGCCGTCAAATTGATCAAGAAAGGAGAAGCTGGAAGATTTTGGGCACCTTAATAGAGTTTGGGTTTTTTCTAGTTAGAATACCACATTCAAGTCTTCATTGAGGAAGTTCTTGTAACAAAACGTGCTCGGGAACAACAGTTGAATGCTCACAAAAGTATTAATATGATCGAAGAAATAGTATTTTTTATCTTTAATGTATGTATTTTTTGTCAGTTTAATCTTTAATGTATCAATTTTTTTGAATTTGGTCCCTAAAATATTTAATTTGTGTTATTTTGGTCCTCACATAGACGGACTGTTGAGTTTTTTCACGGAAGTGGTCATGTTTCATTTTTTTTAAACGATATCACGTACCCAACACATGATTATTCTGTTAAAAACTTAACGATCCGTTTATGTCAAGACCACAATGATACAAATTGAATACTTTATGGACCAAATTGATATATTAAGAACTAAACTGACAAAAAATATATATTTTAATGATCAAAAATACTATTAACCCACCAAAAAAAAAAGACAGGAATTAGACCGAAAGAGTTTTTTTAAGACAAACATCAGTGATAGTCAAGCAGACACTAAAACACATTTTATTATCCAGTGAATTTCACATTATTTTCACAGCTAAAAGAGCAAAATATTGTCCCAGACATGCCGTGTACCATTGTAATTTTTGGTATGATACCGCCAGCACCACCGAATGTGAATTATATCTTACTTTGTATTCGACAACTTTGAATCAACTAGTTGTATACCTCTACTTTTGAAAGATTTTTTTTGTAGGAAAAAAAAAAAAAGATGAATTGGCCTAATCAGAGTTACAAGAATTCACTAAATTTTTAACGATCCACGATTTGGATACATCAATTCTAAACGGGGGTGGATTCGNAATCAACTAGTTGTATACCTCTACTTTTGAAAGATTTTTTTTGTAGGAAAAAAAAAAGGATGAATTGGCCTAATCAGAGTTACAAGAATTCACTAAATTTTTAACGATCCACGATTTGGATACATCAATCCTAAAGGGGGTTGGATTCATGATCCAGATTATCAAAATATATCATCCCAAATTGTATACGTAGCACAAATATAAAATATATATTAATCAACTATGTGTATATAGATTTATAATTAATATTATTTTAGATAATAGAAATCAAACACAAATATAAGATAAATGGTAATTGACTTAGTATTTATGTATGTAATATGATATATAATATTTTATAGTGGTAAAAACAATCTAAATCAGAGTTCTAAACAAATTGTGATCTAAAATATTATATCAGCAAAATAGACATTCATCATACCACATATTTAAAAAAGTGTCGTATCGTATACCCATACTCATATTACGTACCAAAACGACCCATAATCCAAGTAACATTGGGTCCAATATATTGTTGGCCTCCTAACAAGTCTCGAGCTCAAGCATGGCTATCATTCCCTATCCTTACAGATGTAATGAGTTTTCTATCGCTACCCTATAAAAGATTTTAGAATGATAAACAAGAAATATTATCAGGTACAATAGTAACAAATATGTTTTCACTGGCTACATTTCTAATAGGCGTAATATACTTTAATCCCTCAATTATAGGTATGTTTCTATCGCGGGCTTGGGATAACACCACTTGGATAGGATAAAAAAATATATACAACCTATTTATCTCTCGTTTGGGTAAATGAAAAAGTAAATCGAAAATCCTAGTCGAGTTTTCTTCCAATCCAGTTTAAAAAGTACAATTTAACTTGTCTAGTAGGATTAAATGAAACATGCGCGCGTGCACGCACACAAAGGAGAGGATCAGAAAAATACTAAGTATACCTCTGTCTTTCGTTAATTCACAACTATCATCTTTCTCATTGCCCCCGCGGAACAACAAAAATTATAAATGCAAATTTTTTTGGTGCAAAAAAGAACAAAAACTAGTACTACAAATGCTTTCCATGAGCAATTTACTTAACTTTACAGCTGAAGTTTCTTTTCATTTTGTTTATGCAAGTTCTAACCATTTTATTTCCATTACAAAGATGAGTTAGGGAGGAGAAGGCCAGTTGGTCCTTGGCCATTCAATTAAAAGAGCTAGAAGAAGTTGAACCACCAACTAAAACTGGAATGGTTGAGATTTCACCTTAAAGAGAAAATGCAAAGCAAGAGCAATCGAGGGAATGAGTTCCAGAGTTCACCGGAGAAGTGATCACTTGAGATCTGTCCGTGTTGTTTCCACATTCTCAGGAGAAAATCCACCTCAACATCCATGGGGATATCAGAGCCAGAATTTTGAGTTTTGTAAGAGATGCAACAATATGGCCGGTGAGAGAAGATGGTCCAAAATTGTTGGGGATTGAGGTCGAAATTTAAGTTTTTGTGACCATTCAAGTGACTGATGCTCCAGAATAAGAAGAAAATGGTTATGGTGGTGGTGGTGGTGGTGGTGAAACCGGAGAGGCTATTTAGAAACTTGGAAAAACAGGCTAACTGAACCCAACTGACCTGTTTCAAGCATTGATATGTGGTGTTGAACAGCCGGAAAATGGATGTTAAGTAACTTTTAAGTATGAGATGGTACCATTCAAGAGAAAAAATCAAACAGTATCAGAAGAAAAAAAAGTTGGCAACCAGTCAGAGTTAACTCAGAAGGAGAAGGAGCTCAAATGTCTGCAACAATCATGTCATGTTTTAATGACAACCACCTTTTCATCTTCTGTTTGGAATATTTAATGTAGAAGAAAGTTGTATATATCCAATTTTCTCCCGAGAATCTTTTAAATTTGAGATGCGATCGTGCCATCATTTTGTTATGGCCCATCAAGTTTGAGCATATTCCAGTCTCGATGTCACCATTAACTACTCAAAATATATTCTATTTTTACGNATCTTCTGTTTGGAATATTTAATGTAGAAGAAAGTTGTATATATCCAATTTTCTCCCAAGAATCTTTTAAATTTGAGATGCGATCGTGCCATCATTTTGTTATGGCGCATCAAGTTTGAGCATATTCCAGTCTCGATGTCACCATTAACTACTCAAAATATATTCCATTTTTACAAAGGTAAAACAAATTTTAGTAAACATATACAGGGCAAGAGCATAAAGAGATACCAACTCATTTATGTGGTATAAAGTGAAATTACTCCCCAAAGGGTTGGTGCTCATCGACTGGCTTCAGCTACAAAAGGATTCGATGGGAAATTATAATAGCGAACCATGGGTAGCTAGGACAAAACTTCGTTAAGTTGAGATGAATTTATAGTTGGATCAGGAGATTCGGGGCCTGAACAATGATACAGAAAAAATAAAAGAAAATACATTTATCAAGAAGGGATGAATTTGCATGTTCTAGTCGCTTGGCAAGCAACAAGAATCTCAGTATTTCAATAGCAGCATTAGCAGAAAGATTGACATTAGTCAACTAAATTCATTGAAATGTTTGAAACAATAGCTGAATTTCAACAAGATTAACATCCAGTCACCAAAAATAGTTCCGAGCAAGACAATCAATTAGATTCAGACAACCCATATAAGAGGATTGTAGATGACTGGCAGCCAAAATATATGGTAAAAGGGCTCACCAATTAGTATTAATTCATTCATTATTAGCATTACCAGACCAAAGCCGATTTTCCCCTGAGTCCTTAGGAGAAGCTTTGCTTGTGCACTCATCAGGAGTCGTAAGTATCTCTGAGATGAATTTTATCAAAGAGCATAGCCCACCCAAGAAATTATGATCAATAACACCTCCACCTTCCACAACATGTGCAAAATCAATAAGTTTGAATTCTGCACCTGGAATTCTTCCTTTCAATGCTAGCTCCTTTTCATACGTCAAAAGGACTGAACAGGAGTAGAAATGATATATAGTTTGATCCTCAAACCATGATTTCAGCTCCAGCAACTGTGCCAAAATCCCAGTGGAACCACCATAAACAATTGACGCAAAGGAGCAATCTGGTTCCGAATCCGACTCAGCAGATGTATTAGAAGAAACAAACTTCCTTAGAACCAACCTGACGTTATCTGCAGAAAGACGCTGGAAAGATGTCCTTTCTGGTTTCCAAAATCCAAGTTCCTTGCTTACATAGATTTGCAATCCTGATATCCTGAATCCAAGTGGGAGGCTCGAGGTTTCCCTGTCCTTCTTCAAGCATTTCTCAATATAGTCGTTAGATGCTTGTGGGGCCCAGGTTCTGGAGCCAATCTTAATGTCCATTATCGACGGGTTGAGGCGACCGGAGACAAGATCTTGCAAAACAAGGTGAGGTAGCAAGCCAGATCCATCAGATGCCTCAATAAGCTGAGTGCCATAAAAGACGGGGAAGAATCTGCGAATATGATCTGGAATCCTTGTGTTGGAAGAGAATGACGTATAGAAGGTAACCTCCCGGGAACCACGTTCATCACCCTGGAGAGGCTTGTAGAAGCGCCCTGAATCGTCTATCAGGGAACCAAGCTTTCCATCACCAGCTTGGTGTCCTGCAACCTGATGATCTGGGACCTTAAGCATGTTTACTTGGGTATGAAGAACCTCACAGCAGATAAGAACCAATATCTCTTTGATCAGATAAAAACTTTATTCACATAACACCGAATTATACCCTACAAAATAGAAGAGATCACCTCATAAGTATTTGTTATGCAAAGACCCTGAAATTCAAATTAGGAGTACAGTTCTGTTAAACAAAAGAGACAGGTTTTTATACTGGTTGTTGACTAGAAATGAACACTATNATAAGTATTTGTTATGCAAAGACCCTGAAATTCAAATTAGGAGTACAGTTCTGTTAAGCAAAAGAGACAGGTTTTTATACTGGTTGTTGACTAGAAATGAACACTACAGACAGGCAATGATGCATCAACTATTTAGTTTTTGACCTTTTTCTTTTGAAAACACATAAATTTCAGATAGCTTTCCCATCTACAAATCAAAATAGAAATTTAATTTCTCATATGTACGACATTCTCTATCTAAAAATATACCAACAATCAATAAATCACATTGAGAATCAATTACATTAATGACATTCAGTCACGCTGCTACGAAAATATTATAACCACCATAACCTTATTAAATCAACGCAAAAATTCTACATCCTCTTACCATGAAATTAGAAAAAGAAATAATTATACATATCTTTCCACTTTCTGCTTGAAATTTTGTTAAACTAATAAATAACCAGAATTAGTCATATGGGTAAAAATTCCTCCAACGAAAGTTTTAAAAGATAGAAGACCAAAGGACATTTTGAAGAGGGTAAAAGGGATGTTTCATAAAAGGGATCATAGTTACAAAATAAAATGGTGGGTCAATCAAACATCTAATGGTCAGTGGAATGCATACAAGGCAATAATCTCTCTATAGCACTGAAGCTAATGAGTAATTGGCAACCTAGCTATTTGGGTTTTGCAAATTTTTATTATTTTTTTTTTTGGAACTAAAGTATTCTCAGCCAACTCAGACAGATTTTGGTTTGACAATCTGAATGGTCGACTCAAACGGCTACAAAATTTGAAAACTAATAAATATAATGCCAAGAGATTGTACTAAACATAACACCATCAATTAAAAAGGAAATAACCAACTTCTGACAAAGTCTAAAATAAAAAGAAAAAAGAAACCCATCAACAAGCTTTCTTAAAGGGGTGGGGGAGAGAGAGAGAGAACCGATTGACAATAAGACAGATTTATCGACTGTCTCTTACATAATGAACGACCAGTTAAAATCAATTCATGGGTTCATGAACCATAAAAAATTTAAAGACCGAGAGCCAACGATAACAAGAGTTCACTTACCTTACTGGCAAATGATTGAATTACTTGAGCTCAAAGACCGATCAACTGGGGAAGGAGAGATATGAGTAAGCCTTGTGCTTTTCCACAGGCAAACGGCTGAGAATGGGATGAGGCTGGTATTGAAACTTGAAAGCGCTCTCTGTTAACACTTGGCAAACAAGCGGGTTGGGCAGGTTATGGGTGGATCCATTTTCAAATTGTTTCATAAGATTAAAAGATTTATTACCGAAGGTTCTCAAAGTATGTCATTTATCTTATTTTGATCTCTAATATTTTAATTACAACATTTTAATTCTTGAAATATTAAATACTAGTTATTGTCCATACCTTAACAAAAAATAAAAAATATTCCCCGTGAAACTTCTCAAAACAACACTTTCCATACTTTTATCTGTACTTGTCGTTGATAAACAGAGACTTATTGCATAAGCAATTTCAACAATGAATTAATTCTTACATTGAATAAATTTTTAGAGTTTTGAACATATTACAATCCTCCAATACTTACAGAACATTCAGAGAATTGTTCAGAGGTAAGTGTGACAACTAACACAACTGTAAGATTGGTATCATTANCAGAGACTTATTGCATAAGCAATTTCAACAATGAATTAATTCTTACATTGAATAAATGTTTAGAGTTTTGAACATATTACAATCCTCCAATACTTACAGAATATTCAGAGAATTGTTCGGAGGTAAGTGTGACAACTAACACAACTGTAAGATTGGTATCATTAGCTTTTGCCATCACTGTCTCAATTAAAGTTTTGTCTATTGGCTTATATTCCATTGGAACAATCTACATGAAAAATAAATAGACAAAACAATCAGTGAATTTGACGGACAAATTTGGCATTGTAATTTGTAGAGCCAAATGAAGTCAACGTAATTTTCAGATCAACATAATTCGAATAAAATACTAACAATCAATGTATTTCTGTATATATTCTAAGTTATTCCACTACAAACTTCTATTATTTTATCAAAAAAAGCNAAATTTGGCATTGTAATTTGTAGAGCCAAATGAAGTCAACGTAATTTTCAGATCAACATAATTCGAATAAAATACTAACAATCAGTGTATTTCTGTATATATTCTAAGTTATTCCACTACAAACTTCTATTATTTTATCAAAAAAAGCAAATTTTATCACATCAGTAATAAAATTAGACAATTAATTCAAAATGTTCAACTTGTGAGAAAATGTATTAAAATAATAATATAATAGTTATAAGCTTCTATAAGAAACTGGCCTCAATTTTGGAATCCAAAAATAACCTATTTTAGGAAACCAAAATAGTACAAAACCCCAAAAAATAAAAGATCACATAACCAAACAACATGAGAATAAAACACAGNTCAAAATGTTCAACTTGTGAGAAAATGTATTAAAATAATAATATAATAGTTATAAGCAGAAACTGGCCTCAATTTTGGAATCCAAAAATAACCTATTTAGGAAACCAAAATAGTACAAAACCCCAAAAAATAAAAGATCACATAACCAAACAACATGAGAATAAAACACAGGAAAATCGAAAAAAAATCTAGTTATCGCTGAAGTAAATGGCCAAAAATAATTAAGCACTCAAAATTTTATCACACAACAATTGAACAAAGCCCAAAAACAAAAACTAATGAAAACAACAAATAAAAGGCAAAGGAGAACAATGCTCTTCGTTCTTTCAAGGTCCACGGCTTTTACAATCAAGATGATAAAAGCCAACAACAAAGAAGTCTGCTACTTCTATATATATATATATATAACTTAGGCAAATGCAAAGCTACTAATATAGCTAACGTATATCTAAATAGCATAAGAAAACACACTATTGAGTTCTTTTGACCAGAACCATACTGCATACACCATCCTATCACTGCCCCACACCACACAACACTACAAATACTAAACCATATATTCTTGCTACCTTCATATTCGCNCATAAGAAAACACACTATTGAGTTCTTTTGACCAGAACCATACTGCATACACCATCCAATCACTGCACCACACCACACAACACTACAAATACTAAACCATATATTCTTGCTACCTTCATATTCGTATCAATCACCAACCATAGTGTGAATATAAATTATTATAAGAAATAAGAATTATCAACCATAATTAATGGATCTAGCAATAAGAATCCTCCTTTTCTCGTTGATGATGATAGCCTTATGGTCATGAACTCATCCAAATACCAACGCAGACCAAAGTGAGTGAAAATAAAGAGTGTCGGAGGCGATCTCTCATGGACTTAAAAGATACTGTTAAATTTCAATTTCCTAAAACCAATAAGGGTAGAAAGGTTTGCCATTTTTGCTTCCGGCTCCCCATCGTAGACACTTGTTGGGTCAAAAAATTCCGCCCTCCATAGACATGTCGCCGGACATCATCGACACCAATAATTCGCATCACCTCTTCAATATATTTGATGATACCCTAAATATGACTAAAGTTGAGCTTGGATATTAAGCTCGGGACGTCAGAGTTTAGGTCATTCAAACCATCTCGGTTGACCGGGGAACATGAGGTCGGAACCTCTTGCCAGCAGCCACACCTCCACAAGTGTCAAGTACGGCAGAGATGACAGCTGACTTCCACCAAAGCACCAGCCATAACGTAACGACCTTGAATTTGGGCAAATAAGCCGCAGCCGTTTCAACAGCATCCGTAGCAATCACATAGCAGGCGCAGACGTTACGAAAGGAAGGCGATGATCACGCCTTCAGTCATGCGAAGCCTCTGACGAATATAAATATGGGGCATATCCCTAACAATAAAAAATAAGCAATTGTAACCTAAACAAATACCTGTGTAATTTCCCCCTTTTATCAATATATTTCCCAAGATCAAAGCAATTGACTCCCTTGAGAGTGGACTAACCAAGAGATAGTGAACCACTATAAATTATCTGCGTGTTAATCCTATTTCCCTTGTCCAAATCTTAACAACCTAGAAAGTCTAGTCAGACTGAGCCGTTCAGTGATCCCTGATCCCTAAACTCTGCTCTTTCTTGTTGTATACATCATCAATATTGATTTCTAGGGTTTTACTAAAACGACATTCTAGGCTCAAACATACACATTTACGGGTCTAATAAAAGTGAGAACTTTCATCGAGCAGTTGACGGGCTTCCGTGATTTCATCGAGCAGTTAAGGAGCTGAAGCTATGTGGTCGGTCTATGGATGGGCATTTGGTTGTCGGTTGACTGAGCATGGAGGCAAAGGGCGAAGGTGGCTAGGGGTGGAACCGTGGAGGGGCTCTGGATGGTGAGTGGAGGGTGTAGGAGAGTGGAGCGAGGGGAAAGGGGAGGAGTAGACTGTGAGAGTGAAAGAGGGGTAAGAATAGGATCAATGACTGAGAGAGACGGAGACATAGAGAGATACCTGACGTCGCTGACAGTTGCTAGCGTCGATTGTGGATCGCGGTGGCTCTTGGGTGGCGGGATCAGCGGTGGCTGCGACGTTCGGGTCACCACAGGCGGCTGCGACTATGAGAGATGGGAAGAAGAGAAAAGCTGCAACAGAAGGGAGATTAGGAGAGGAAAGAAAAGCAGCATTTACGTTGGATAAGAGAGACAGGGTAAAAGGTAACAGATGTGAGGAGAGAGAAAGGCGGAGAGAAAAGTGAAGACAAGAGAGAATCGACGATTCTGGTGTGATAAGGAAGGAGAGAGAGAATCTCATGGTTGGGTTGAAAAATTTTAGGCGAAAAAAAAATTCGGAGTAATTTAAGCCATTGGATCTGATTTAGACAAATTTAGAAATGATCTGAGGTCCAAAAATTAAGAATTAT